ATGCCAAAGTTCATTTTTATAAATATTATTACGTATAGTTGACTAATTCTTTTTATTTTTTTTCTCTCTCTTCTTTGAGCCTATTTTATCCAATATCATTTGATCATATTTTCTTTATAGATAATGTACAATTGATTTTATTTTTCATCTTATTAATCCTTTCGTATGTACACAGGATGTGTGTATCTCCTCTTAAACATTTTCTTTTTAAATTCTATATTCTGTGATATGCAATAAGTTTTATTATTCTTCTCTTCTACATTGTTCCATTCGACGGAAACAATGAAACTCTTAAATTGTATTCGAAGATTACATAGAAATGGAAAAAAAAAAATTAAAAAGAAATTGTATGCGGTTAATTAAAAAATGTAATAAAACTAAATCTTTAGTTCGAAACTATTTGAAAATTAGAATATTTTTCCTCTCAGGTAAAAATTGACTTAAGAGCATAATTTTCGAATTATTTACAATATCTAAAAGTGAAAATTTGTTCTTCGGGCGAACTTCTCTCAATTATTTTTTATAAATTTGAATACAATTCTAAAAATTCAATTATTCTTCATAGAATTCTATAAAGTAATAAATTAAAATTTTAATAAAATTCTTAAAAATTCAATTCTTTTTTCTATAATTTTAGTAAATTTCAAAAATATTCAATTTCTTAAAATAGAATTTTGTGAAATTTCAAGTATTAATAAAATATTTAAATTATTAATTAAAATTAATAATTAAATCAATAAATTTTCAACAAAATTTTGTAAAAAATCAATAAAACTCTTTAAAAAATTCAATTACTTTTAATAGTATTTATCAAAATTTCAATTATTAATAAATTTTGTAAAAATTGCATTTATTTTTTAAAGAATTTCGAAAATTTTAATAAAATTTGTTAAAAATTTTTACTAGAATTTTATAAAAATCCAATTATTTTTCAAAATTCTGAAAAGAAAAAAATCTCTCACATTGTATTCGACGATTGAGAAGTTGAAAAAGAAGTAAAAAATTATATATCTACAATTAATTAAATGTTGTTAAACTTAATTATTTCTAACTTAATCAATTAATTAATAATCAGGTAATTAAAAATTTATTTAAATTTCAATTCTTAGTTCGAAATTAATAAAAAATTAAAATTTTTTCCTCTTAAGTAAAAATTTACTTGAGAGTGAATTCGCGAATTATTTACTCGAAAGTAAAAGTAAAATAACAAGTAATATTTGAAATCATTCAAATAAAATTTGACGAGTTCTTCAATTACTAGCTTTCTTAATTATTTCCTAGCATTAAGATAAATCTTCTTCCCCTCATAAATTTCGAAAAGAAACAAAACAAAAATATCCATAGTTTTTTTTATAAAAAATATTTACTACATGCTTTAGTAAAATAATTTTTACCTTTTTTTTAACTATGTAAATAGAAAGCTTCCTCGTCAAGAAGCAAAAAAAATTCATTCGAAACAATTTCGCCGTCTTTAAAAGTTAAAACAGAAAAAACAAATTAATCTTATTAACTATAAGTCACATTGAAAAGTTTGAAACAATCACAGAAGAGTTCGACTACTTTCAAAATGCGGATTTACATAATACTTATCGTAGAGTAAAATGAACAATTTTATCAATACGTAGAATTAATGTTTCGCTTCTATTTTTTTCTCCAAATAGATTTTTTCCATCTTTCTCTGAGAATTTGTCGAAAATGAAAAATTTTTCTCCTTGAAAATGTGTGTTAACAATAGAATAAGAATATTGTACACATATATTTATAAAAGCGTTGAGAAATATCTGGAGATCCAAATTTAAGGTACATGTTAGAATTATAAAGGCACTACACGTCTGCTAGAAATTAAATTTTTAGTTTCGATTTACAATGTAATTTCAAATTTAACATCGAAGTTTCAGTAATTTCAGTTTAATTTCAATTTAATTATATTTAAAAATTTTGTAATAACAAAATCTGAGAAAAAGACATCGAATTTTTTTTATTTTAATTCGAATGAGCTGACGTGATAGTTTTAATTATTATCGATTTTGGATCGCCATTTTTCAATTATGAAGCTTATTAATTTACAAGGTTTTTTTTATTCAGGCCTTAAAAAGTCTTATTTCCTAGAGTTGAAAGTGAAAAAAGTTATGTTGAGAAGATATAAGACTCATTATGCGTCTTTTTTTTCATTTTGTCACGATGTACTTTGGCATTGAAATTTTATTAAACAAATCTAGGATCTTACTATCCGCACCTTTTTTTTTGCATACTTGATATTCAAAGCAGAATAGCTTAGAATGTTTCCATTAAAAATATATTAAAATTATAATATATTGGTAGAAGAATGCAAGTATTTACAAATATTTTGAAAGAGCGTTTCGAAAATTGTTTTGAGAAAAAAAAATCGGCACTCTTCTAGATACGTGAAGGGCGCATGCTTCTCCAACCAATTCTTTTTCTTATTTTCAATTTATCCGAATTGCAAAAAAAAGTTGATAAAGGTAAATACATTTTAACAATTTTTTTTGTCAGAAACTTTTTCAGTATTTTTTATATAATTCAATTACTAGGCCTCGTATATTATGATTTTTTTTTACTTTTTCGACTATTTTCAAATAATGCGACATTTATCGACTTCTATTAAAAAATTGCGACTTTTTCGCCTTTTTTTTATAAATTTGCGACAAAATACCACATTTTCAGAATAAAATGCAACTTATTTCGTTTTTTATTAGTGTAAAAAGTATAATAGACAAATCTTTGAAAAGTTATTTTTGAATAATTTTTCTAATTAAATTTTCAAAATATACAATTAAAAAGCTTTATTTTGAATTTTTTGAATTTTTGATAATTTTAGATTTTCACCAAAGAGTCGAGACTATTAAATAAGTAAAGTATTTTCCAAAAGCACAAAAATAATGAAGCTAAATCCGATAAATGAGAGGAAAAAATGTTCAACTTTAAGAAATTTTGATTTTTGAATTTTTTTGAATTTTTGATAATTTTAGATTTTTTTTTTTTTTTAATTATTACAATTATTAAAAATTCGAAAAACCGATTTTTTTAAAATTCAACATGTTTTCCTCTCTTTTATAGGATTTAGCTTCTTTATTTTTGTGCTTTTGGAAATTACTTTACTTATTTAATACATATTCAAAAGCTTTTTAATTGTATATTTTGAAAATTTAATTAGAAAAATTATTCAAAAATAACTTTTCAAAGATTTGTCTATTATACCTTTTACACTAATAAAAAACGAAATAAGTTGCATTTTATTCTGAAAATGTGGTATTTTGTCGCAAATTTATAAAAAAAAGGCGAAAAAGTCGCAATTTTTTAATAGAAGTCGATAAATGTCGCATTATTTGAAAATAGTCGAAAAAGTAAAAAAAAATCATAATATACGAGGCCTAGTAATTGAATTATATAAAAAATACTGAAAAAGTTTCTGACAAAAAAAATTGTTAAAATGTATTTACCTTTATCAACTTTTTTTTGCAATTCGGATAAATTGAAAATAAGAAAAAGAATTGGTTGGAGAAGCATGCGCCCTTCACGTATCTAGAAGAGTGCCGATTTTTTTTTCTCAAAACAATTTTCGAAACGCTCTTTAAAAATATTTGTAAATACTTGCATTCTTCTACCAATATATTATAATTTTAATATATTTTTAATGGAAACATTCTAAGCTATTCTGCTTTGAATATCAAGTATGCAAAAAAAAGGTGCGGATAGTAAGATCCTAGATTTGTTTGATAAAATTTCAATGCCAAAGTACATCGTGACAAAATGAAAAAAAAAGACGCATTGTTTAAACCATTGCTTGAAATTATTCTATGTATCTAATTTTTGTTTTTGAACTCCTGTTACTGGCAGGTAATTCACTTCAGTAGTGATTTAACTACACAAGGTCGACCTCTTCCATTGTTATAAATATTTATCTATCTTTGTTTATATGAATGGTTGCCAATAATTATTTGGTCCAACCAATGCTATTCCTTCTACAGCGACACGCCCTCTGAGAAAGGGGAAGCTTTTCTTTTATTTGTTACAGACAATACCGATGATTTACAACAATGAAGATGGTCACTTTTGGGGATACCACCACTACCTGAAAAAGGATTTCTTCGATATTAAAACGACAATAAATTGTAATATTAAGACTGTCTCTGTAAATGAACGTTCGAATAAACAAGTTTCAAATTTATCATTCCGTCATCTTTTATTTTATAATTATTTTTCAATTAAACAAAAAGGTCCTTCGAGCCGGATTAATTAATCGAATTAAAATAAAATGTTAAAAAAGTTAAATTTATTTTTTGTGTAATTTCGCGAGTGAGTGATTATTAAACAAAAGTGATTCGTCATGGATGAATTAATACTTGAACAAGAAGTGAACATCAGCGCCGTTGAAAGAGCGTTAGTCAACTTCCGAAAACGTTCTGAAGATCAAATTACTTTGGAACTAGTAGAAGGTCGACGCCAATATCTGTTGACGGCATGGAATGCTTGTCAGCGAGTGGATTTGAAGATCATCAAAGCAGCCCATGGTTCAGATAAGTCGTTAATTCCTTACTTTTTTTAATAATATTTTTGTTCAAGCAGAGGAAGTTTATTTGAATACATTAGATACTTTTAATGAGTTAATTGGAAAGCTTAAAAAAGAACAATTGATTTTATATAGAAATAGTACAAGTTCCAATAGCAGCCTTGATTCTTCAAAAATTGCTAAATTACCGCGAATAGAATTACCCAAATTTTCTGACGACTATTTAGAATGGCAAAATTTCAAAGACTTATTTCAGTCTATTGTTGCATCAGACCCCAACTTACCTGATGTGCAAAAAATGCACTATTTGAAATCAAGCTTATTAAGCGAACCAGCACAACTAATAAAACATTTAGGTACTACTCCTGAAAATTATCAAAGCGCTTGGAGTATTCTTACAAAACGGTATGAAAATTCCAGAGCAATTATAAATTCATATTTGAATAATTTTATGTCACTCCCTGCTATAATGAACGAAACAGTTAAAGACTTAAAAAATCTACGAGATAAAACGTCTGAAGCTGTACAAGCACTAAAATCTTTGGGTCGAAATATTGATAGTGATCTATTAGTCTTTGTCGTTTCGCGAAAAATGGGAAAATGTATTCTGTGTAATGGTAAACATTATTTATTTAGTTGTGATTCTTTTAAACAACTTTCTGTAGTTCATAGAAAAGAAATTGTTAAAGAAAAACATCTTTGTTTTAATTGTTTAAAATCGGGTCACAGTTCAAAAAACTGTCGTAATAAAAAAAATTGTTTCCATTGTAACAAGAGACATCACTCTTTGATCCATTCAGAAAGTAATCAAAAATTTAATCAAGCATCTAAAAACGAAGCCGATAAGAAACTTGAAATACCCAAAAAAGTAGAAAAAGTTTCACAAGATCAAAGAGTATTAAATCAAAAAGAATCTAATAGTACCCCAAAAAACGACACTGTTTCTTTGAACCATATACGCGGTAAAACAGTACTTTTAGCAACTGCAAAAATCTGTGTTGTTGGTAAAAACGGTGAAAGAATAGAGATTAGAGCTCTATTAGATCAAGGATCCGAGGTAACATTTATAACTGAAAGAGTTGTTCAAATGCTTCGGGTTAAAAAAGAACCAGCTATGATCCGTGTAACTGGAATCGATAATGCTTTTCTCGGAACTGCAAAATCACTCGTTAACGTTATTATCACACCAACACAAAATTTCGAAAAGAAAATTCCCATATCTGCGTTAGTACTCCCTAAACTCAATAATCATATTGTATCAAAAGCAGATTATCTTAGTGATTGGGAACATCTTCGCGACCTAGATTTAGCTGACCCAACACCATTTGATAATAAAGAATTCGATATGATAATTGGAGCGGATTATTACGGTTCATTATTATTACCAGGTCTTATTAAAGGTCCTGTTCGATCACCAACAGCACAAGCTACGGTATTTGGTTGGATTATTTCGGGTCCCTTAAACTCACTCAATAATGTATCCCCAACTAGTAAAGTCGTTCATCATTGTGTAGGGCTTTCAGATATTCATAATGATCTGCAGAAATTTTGGGAAATTGAAGAATTTCCACAAAAAAGTAATCTTACAGACGATGAAACAAAATGTGAAGAGCATTTTGTTAATACACATTCTCGAAATGAAGAAGGAAATTATGTTGTTCGTTACCCTTTTAAAAATGATCCTCCTGAACGTTTAGGAGATTCTCTTCAAAATGCCAAACGTTTACTTTTACAAACAGAACGCCGTGTACAAAACAATCCCGAGTTAAAACAAGATTACTATGATTTTCTCAATGAATATAAAGATTTAAAACATATGATTGAAATTGATTATAATGACGAACAAAATTCTAATTTTGAAATAGAAAATTATTTACCATATCATATAGTCATACGTGTGAGTAGTTCCTCCACTCCACTACGCATAGTATTTAATGCTTCCTTTCCAACATTAACAGGAGTATCTTTAAATGATTTACTACTTCCTGGTCCCAAGTTACACGCCGACATCCCATCTATAATAATACGCTGGCGAAATTATCGTTTTGTTATGACTGCGGATATTAGTAAAATGTTTCGTCGAATTCAAATTGATAAAAGAGATGTTAATTTCCAACGAATTATTTGTAGACTTAACGAAACAGAAGAAATTAAACATTTTCAATTGTTAACACTCACTTATGGTGTCTCGTCATCTCCTTTCTTAGCAAATAGAGTAATAAAACAATTAGCTAATGACGAAGGAGATAATTTTCCAAAAGCAAAACAAATATTATTAAATGATATCTACGTTGACGATGGGCTTTTCGGAGCAGATGATTTAGAAACTGCCTTGCAAATTAAAAACGAATTTATTCAACTTCTTGCCAAAGGTGGCTTCCCGGTTCACAAAATTTCATCTAATTCGCCCCTCTTGAGTGATTCTAAGCTTTCTAAATATAGCGAACGATTGATACTAAATGATACTAATTCAAAAGCAGTTCTAGGACTCTATTGGGATCCAGAATATGATGTATTTAGAATTTCTATGTCCCCAGTAGTTAACGTCAATTTTACTAAGAGAAATGTTCTTTCTGTTATCGCTAAACAGTTTGATCCTTTAGGTTGGATTTCTCCAATTTTGATAATAGCTAAAATTATAATTCAAGACCTTTGGATAAGACATTTAGATTGGGACGAAACTCTCCCTGATGATTTAAGTGTAAGATGGAAATCCTATTGCAATGAACTTAATAACGTTCAAAAAATAACCATCCCACGATGGACAGGATTAACTTCTCATGATGTAATAGAGATACACGGTTTTGCTGACGCATCTTCGCGAGCTTATGCCGCCGTAGTATATTTGCGTATACAAAACGTATCAAAAAAGATAAATGTGTCACTATTACTAGGAAAAACAAAAGTAGCTCCTTTAAAAACATTAACTATCCCCCGATTAGAATTATGTGCGGCAGTCCTATTAGCTAAATTATTAAAAAAGATCGTAAATGATTTACAATTAGACGACGTTCCTGTATATGGGTGGTCAGATTCTACCATTGTTCTGGCATGGCTATCCAAACATCCTTCAACATGGCGTACTTTTATTGCCAATAGAGTTGAAACAATACAATCTCTTATCCCAACTGCATCTTGGAAACATGTCCCGACTGCTGATAATCCGGCAGATTGTGCTACCAGGGGTATCTACCCATTGAAATTATTAAATCACGAATTATGGTGGTCCGGTCCTAAGTGGTTAAGTGACTCTCCTACGACGTGGCCTACTCTACCTGATTTAAATTATAACTGCGATGTTAAAACTACTGCTACCAAAATTCACATGGCTACAACTGATCAATCTTACGATTTTGTGAATAAACTTTCAAATAGATATAGCAGTTGGCCTAAACTTTTGAGAATTACTGCCCTCGTTTTCAAGTTTATCAATAAATGCAAAACAAAACTACAGTCCACTAATTCAGAAGTAAATAACAAGGCTGAAATGCATAGTGCTAAATTATTTTTGTTTAAAAATCTTCAATCACAGTTTTTTGCAAGTGAAAGAAGAGCGACTTTGAATAAATTGAATCTAAAAAAATCTAGTCCATTAAAAGCCCTTAATCCCTTTATAGACAAAGATGGACTATTGCGAGTTTCTGGTCGTTTAAGTAATGCTCCTATCGCTTGGGAAACCAAGCATCCTATCATACTACCTAATCATCGGATAAGTTTACTTATTGCCCAGCAAACTCATTTGAGGTCCTTACATGGAGGTCCACAAATGACTTTGTTTCTACTTAGGCAAAACTTTTGGATAATAAAAGGTCGAAATTTAGTTCGTAGTATTGTACATAAATGCTTGACTTGTGCCCGTCATCAAGCTACACTTCAATCACAGTTAATGGCGAATTTACCATCTTGTAGAGTAACTCCATCAAACCCTTTTACTCATTGCGGTTTGGATTATGCAGGACCAATCTCAGTTAAATTAAATAAAGGTCGCGGTTACAAATCGACGAAAGGGTACATAGTTCTATTCGTCTGTATGGTAACGCGAGCTATTCATTTAGAATTAGTGAGCGACTATTCTTCTTCAACATTTCTATCAGCTTTAAAAAGATTTGTGTCTCGCCGTGGAATTCCTTCAAATCTATATAGTGATAACGGTAGAAATTTCGTTGGAGCTGATAAAGAATTACGTCGAATTTTTAAGACCTTAAAATGTGATCCTAAAGTTTCGAAAGACATGTCTGCATTTAATATCAACTGGGACTTTATTCCTCCATACTCGCCACATTTTGGGGGTATTTGAAAAGCAGGTATTAAAAGCACAAAGAAACACCTTAATCGCATAATGGGACCACACACATTAACTTTTGAAGAATTAACCACATTACTATGTCAAATAGAATCCTGTCTAAACTCACGACCTATTGCTGCATTTTCAAACGAAGTTGACGATTATTCGTATTTATCTCCAGGGCATTTTTTGATAGGAAAACCCTTACTAGCTATGCCTGAAAAATCTTTACCTTCCAGTCAACACAGTCTTTTAACACGTTGGCAATTAGTTCAACAAAAGACTGAGCAATTTTGGAAACAATGGAGTTTAGAGTACCAACAAGATCTTCAAAAGCGTTATAAATGGACGAAGTCAAATCCAAACATCAAAATTGGTGACTTAGTTCTGATAAGAGACATTAATCTTCCAAAATCAAATTGGCAAATGGGTCGCGTTCTTAAAATTCACCCAGGAAAGGACGGGTTAGTACGTGTTGTTACAGTCAAAACTAAAAAGGGTATTATTCAAAGATCCATTGCACAATTATGTGTCTTACCTACCCAAACAGAAACAAATCTATAATCAACGAACTGAAGTCTCAAGGCGGGCGGCATTTTTTTATTATTTCTATTGTTATGAATGATTCAAAGTTACATCTGACATTAAATTGTTACATTCTACTTCTACATTTGTTATTACTTGTATTGTTATGATTAATTCAAAGTTACATCTACATCTTAATTTTTTTAATTTCAAATTGAAAAAGGAATACATCTTACTTCTATCATCATTCCAATAATTGGAATGAGGCGGGCGGTTTGTTTAAACCATTGCTTGAAATTATTCTATGTATCTAATTTTTGTTTTTGAACTCCTGTTACTGGCAGGTAATTCACTTCAGTAGTGATTTAACTACACAAGGTCGACCTCTTCCATTGTTATAAATATTTATCTATCTTTGTTTATATGAATGGTTGCCAATAATTATTTGGTCCAACCAATGCTATTCCTTCTACAGCGACACGCCCTCTGAGAAAGGGGAAGCTTTTCTTTTATTTGTTACAGACAATACCGATGATTTACAACAATGAAGATGGTCACTTTTGGGGATACCACCACTACCTGAAAAAGGATTTCTCCGATATTAAAACGACAATTAATTGTAATATTAAGACTGTCTCTGTAAATGAACGTTCGAATAAACAAGTTTCAAATTTATCATTCCGTCATCTTTTATTTTATAATTATTTTTCAATTAAACACGCATAATGAGTCTTATATCTTCTCAACATAACTTTTTTCACTTTCAACTCTAGGAAATAAGACTTTTTAAGGCATGAATAAAAAAAACCTTGTAAATTAATAAGCTTCATAATTGAAAAATGGCGATCCAAAATCGATAATAATTAAAACTATCACGTCAGCTCATTCGAATTAAAATAAAAAAATTTCGATGTCTTTTTCTCAGATTTTGTTATTACAAAATTTTTAAATATAATTAAATTTAATTAAATTGAAATTAAACTGAAATTACTGAAACTTCGATGTTAAATTTGAAATTACATTGTAAATCGAAACTAAAAATTTAATTTCTAGCAGACGTGTAGTGCCTTTATAATTCTAACATGTACCTTAAATTTGGATCTCCAGATATTTCTCAACGCTTTTATAAATATATGTGTACAATATTCTTATTCTATTGTTAACACACATTTTCAAGGCGAAAAATTTTTCATTTTCGACAAATTCTCAGAGAAAGATGGAAAAAATCTATTTAGAGAAAAAAATAGAAGCGAAACATTAATTCTACGTATTGATAAAATTGTTCATTTTACTCTACGATAAGTATTATGTAAATCCGCATTTTGAAAGTAGTCGAACTCTTCTGTGATTGTTTCAAACTTTTCAATGTGACTCATAGTTAATAAGATTAATTTGTTTTTTCTGTTTTAACTTTTAAAGACGGCGAAATTGTTTCGAATGAATTTTTTTTGCTTCTTGACGAGGAAGCTTTCTATTTACATAGTTAAAAAAAAGGTAAAAATTATTTTACTAAAGCATGTAGTAAATATTTTTTATAAAAAAAACTATGGATATTTTTGTTTTGTTTCTTTTCGAAATTTATGAGGGGAAGAAGATTTATCTTAATGCTAGGAAATAATTAAGAAAGCTAGTAATTGAAGAACTCGTCAAATTTTATTTGAATGATTTCAAATATTACTTGTTATTTTACTTTTACTTTCGAGTAAATAATTCGCGAATTCACTCTCAAGTAAATTTTTACTTAAGAGGAAAAAATTTTAATTTTTTATTAATTTCGAACTAAGAATTGAAATTTAAATAAATTTTTAATTACCTGATTATTAATTAATTGATTAAGTTAGAAATAATTAAGTTTAACAACATTTAATTAATTGTAGATATATAATTTTTTACTTCTTTTTCAACTTCTCAATCGTCGAATACAATGTGAGAGATTTTTTTCTTTTCAGAATTTCGAAAAATAATTGGATTTTTATAAAATTCTAGTAAAAATTTTTAACAAATTTTATTAAAATTTTCGAAATTTTATAAAAAATAAATGCAATTTTTACAAAATTTATTAATAATTGAAATTTTGATAAATACTATTAAAAGTAATTGAATTTTTTAAAGAGTTTTATTGATTTTTTACAAAATTTTGTTGAAAATTTATTGATTTAATTATTAATTTTAATTAATAATTTAAATATTTTATTAATACTTGAAATTTCACAAAATTCTATTTTAAGAAATTGAATATTTTTGAAATTTACTAAAATTATAGAAAAAAAAATTGAATTTTTAAGAATTTTATTAAAATTTTAATTTATTATTTTATAGAATTCTATGAAGAATAATTGAATTTTTAGAATTGTATTGAAATTTATAAAAAATAATTGAGAGAAGTTCGCCCGAAGAACAAATTTTCACTTTTAGATATTGTAAATAATTCGAAAATTATGCTCTTAAGTCAATTTTTACCTGAGAGGAAAAATATTCTAATTTTCAAATAGTTTCGAACTAAAGATTTAGTTTTATTACATTTTTTAATTAACCGCATACAATTTCTTTTTAATTTTTTTTTTTCCATTTCTATGTAATCTTCGAATACAATTTAAGAGTTTCATTGTTTCCGTCGAATGGAACAATGTAGAAGAGAAGAATAATAAAACTTATTGCATATCACAGAATATAGAATTTAAAAAGAAAATGTTTAAGAGGAGATACACACATCCTGTGTACATACGAAAGGATTAATAAGATGAAAAATAAAATCAATTGTACATTATCTATAAAGAAAATATGATCAAATGATATTGGATAAAATAGGCTCAAAGAAGAGAGAGAAAAAAAATAAAAAGAATTAGTCAACTATACGTAATAATTAGAGGTGTGCAAAAAGCTCGAATAGCATGGTCGAGCTCGAGCCGGGCTTGATACTCGAGCATTATAAATTTTTTAGTTACTCAAAAATATTTGAGTGCTCGAAAAATTCAAGTGCTGAAAATTATTTTAGCTTTTATACTGCACGTGTCAAATGGAATTTGGTTCAAGTTCGGATTGATTCTGCTCAGCTCTGCTAGAAAAACGAAAAGCTTGAAAATACTTGATCGAGCTTTTTGCACAACTCTAGTAATAATATTTATAAAAATGAACTTTGGCATGGAAAATTTATCCACACACACAGTATATATAAATAATATATTCGATGAGCATTGGAATATAATAAGTAAAATATATGGGATCATAATTTAAATGCGAAAAATCTATCGTTTTAGTAATCTTACGTGATCATCAATAAATTCTTAATATTTAAAAAATAAAAGAAAATTTTTAATTACAATCATTTTTATTTTATACAAAAGAAAAAAAAATGAAAACAAATTTTTTTAATTATGTTTTCATCTGATTTTATATATAAATTATATTGCAAAGTTTTTACTACAGTTTTTGTATACAGACAGTCGAATATGAAATGATTTTTAAATTCCTTTTTTTTCCCAAAATGGAAAAAGTCATCAAGAATTTCTGATAAAATTTTTTTTTTTGTTGTATTAAGGAAAGTTGTTTATTATTAATGACAGTTTATCGACGAATTAAGAGGGAATTTTGATTGTAAAATTAAGTAAAAGAAAGAAAGTTAGAGAACATGTTTTGAATGCCCACTTGTGCGATAATTAAACCTTAATAATAGAGTTTGCGCTGTAGCTTCAAAAATTCATGGTGTTGCCATGATTGTCTTTATCAATGTTATAAATTAAATTTAATAATTAGGTAAATTATATTAAGTTTTATTAATTACGATTAAAGTACCTATACTTTTTTTTAAATTTTAATTATGTTATTCTCATTTAAAAGAGAATTTCTTTCTTTTTGATTAGAGTTGAACGATTTTGATAAAAAATATACAAAAAAGATTTTACACTTTTTTTTATTTTTCTAATTTCAAAGAAGGAAAAATTCGATGTTTAGTTTAATTTTTCAAATATGTATTCATATTTATTTTTTTTTGTTTCAGGTCAGGGAAATCAGGAAAAATCATTTTATTTTCAAAAGATGTAAATTTGAAATTTTCTTTAAAAATTGAAGTTTCGATAACTTTTATTTAAAATTCTGAAAAATTAGTTTTTTTTTTATTTATTTATTAATATACGGTGTTTGTTTTTAATATTTTAGTTCTATTTTTTAAACCAATTTAAATGTTTATAAATTGTAGTCTCGACTCTTTGGTAAAAAATCTAAAATTACAGAAAATTATCAAAGATTCAAAAATCCGATTTTTTTTAAATTCAACATTTTTTCTCCTCTTTTATGGGATTTAGCTTCTTTATTTTTGTGCTTTTGGAAAATGTTTTACATATGACTTTTAAAATAATGACATAATGACTTTTAATAAATAACGCGCATGCGCAGTCTGCAACTATCTTCGTCACTCTTGAAAGAACGATGAGAGAGATCATTATTTTGACGTGTGAGTTAGAAAGTGTGGTTATGTTTTATTGTTGACAATATATATTACACTATTAAATAATATTAATAAATTGTAATATAGGAAATGTGTGAGTAGATATTAATTATATTAGCATTATAGCGATTGTAGCATTATATTATATTGTATTCATTCACTTTATCATACAAAAAAAAGAATTACTCCGGTTCGACAAAAATAATCTTTTTATTAATATCTACTCACACCTATATTAAAATTTATTAATAGTATAGTCTTTTTTAAGAAAGGAGATTTTTTTCTGTTTTATTTAATAGTAATTATTTATAAATTAAGTAGTTATACATTATTTATCATTAATTTCTTTGAATTTAAATAATTCAAAGAAAGGTTATAAGTATCTTGCAATGTAAAAATAGTATTTTTGTTTAATTTTCATGTGATAAAACACATGGACAAATGCCACTCCCGCGATCTGTCGTGCAAAACGCGCGGCGACATATCAACAGTTATTGTAGGTAACCGTCCTTCACTATTTTCATAGCTGC